TGAGAGAACGATCGTAAAGATCGGCAAAGTCGGAGCGGTCACGGCAAGCCATTGCGGCCACTAGCTCGATCAAGCCGGTGAATGCAGTGAACAGCAATGAACCAATCGGCCGCAGTCTGCCGGTGCCTGCCAGTGTTTGCCAGTGTCCGCCTTGCTGGCCAATCAGCCGAGCCAGACGGTAAGCGTCACGTGGGCGAACGGCCACCGCGCCGCGCTGAGCGCTCAGCCGCGTTGCACGTTGCGCGTTGCGCGTTGCGCTGCGCTTCGTTGCTTCGTATTTTTTTACTTTGCTGTTTCGCGCATTCGCGCTGCGCTCAGCCAACTCAGGGCCACTCACGAGAGTGGGATAGTCGGTGCTGGTCAGTGTCAGTGCGTCGCGAACCTCGATCGCGCGTGCTTGCGCGTTCGTATGTTCTTTTAACGTTTTGCAGAGAAAAGTGAAAGAATTTGAAAAAAAAAAAAACAAACAGATAGAATAAAAGGAAGGTAGAAAAAAGAGGATGAGTGCGACGCGAAATACATCGAAAGTCTCAATAAAATTTCGTGGCTTTGCTATTAATCGTTGTGTATGCGCGCGAGGTATGATTCCATAGTAGCCATGAGTAGCCGTGAGTAACCGTGAGTAACCGCAAATCGACGAGATCGAGATCACTGAGATCACCGAGACCATCGAGACCATCGAGACCATCGAGACCATCGAGACCCGTCAAGCCGTCAGGTGCACGCTCCGATTCTCCGTTAGTCGTACTACCCGCTACTATTTACCGATTTACTACTCACACAACTCGCTCAACTGCTCAACTGCTATTCCAGCTTATGGATATGTGTCACGTGATTCGAGTGTATTATTTTACTCGGTGCAATGTATCGTGCAATGTGTCGTGCAAGGATCTCTGTCGAATTAAAATCTGCACCTGAAAGAGAGTAAGAAAGAGACACTTGTACGGCAGAGAAGAGTGTGAAAAAGGAAAGAAAAAAGGAGCGACATGGCGCCCCCCGATAGATCGCCTCGCCCCAACTCCGGTCTTAGCCTCTCCGTACTCGGTAAGCGACTAAATATTTTATGCTTCACATTATTTTTCTTTTTTATATAGAATTTATTCCTAGTGTTATTCATTTGCAATTTACAACGTTAAAAGTTATTTGTGTCCTCGAATATTATTTACAATTAGTCTTTTTAAAGATTGAAGATTCTTTAGAAAAAAAAATGTATAAATATATAAAATGTATAAATTTGCGTAAATATAATATATATGCGTAACATTACAAGTCTTATATTTTATATTTAGTTCGACTAGTATATTCTAAAAATAGCAAGTTTTCATTTTCAAATTTATCGTGGCATATATTTTCAAATGTTGTATATATGAAAGCTTTCACAAAATAAAAAGATCGCCTAAAGTATACTTTATTTTTAGAGTTTAGAGTTAACATGTATATTTCTAGCGTTATAAAAAAGCATAGAGAGAGAGAGAGAGAGAGGGAGGGGAGGAGAGAGAGAGAGAGTCGTAGTAT